AGCTGGGCCCCCCCTCCCCACTGGCCTTCTGGCGGGCTGAATCAACAGCAGCCGGATCAAAGAACCGGTCGGGGATGGACAGACCCTCCTTTAGTAAAACGTGGTTTAGTGAAAACGACCTGAGGCCCAAACTTGGCGGGCGCAAGCCTGGAAAGTAACGGCCACGGCGCCATCTCGAGAACCGAAAACGGACAATTCATTAATCGGCGTGTCACTGTTGGGGGTTCTGTCCACCCCCGAACCAAGAATTCTTAAGTTCGGGACCTATCCTTTTACAGAAACTTGTCTTTCTAACGCGGGGTATGCTAAAATCCTAAACTAAAAACCGTGCTTGGAAACTCCCACCGGACGGGACGCTGCCCCTGCAAATGCAAAACGATTGCATTTCACTTCGTCGAAAAGCTTTCGGAACGCCAATGGGTCCTAGGCCTCGGGGTCATCTTTGTGGTTCTTCGGGTGCTTTGGGGGGCGCTCTGGGGGGGGAGGGCCTTTTTGTGGCCCGCCACGGTAAAACTGGGAGCGTCCTGAAGCCTCTGGGGGGGCCTCTTCGGGGTCTTGCGATCGCGTTGGAGAGATTGGCCTCCAGCAGCGCGGAGGCAGCGCCTCCTGGGGCCATACCAGGAACGACCACCCCAGGGACCCCCTCCCCAATAGCGCGCGAACCGCGCCAAGGGCGGCGCCAGAGCAGCCGCCAGGGTGTCCAGCACCAACACAGGAAACCCGCGCGGGTCTCCGAAAGTTTCTCTCTGCGCCGTGCTAGGCCATTCGAACCTCCCCGCCCACCCGCGGGCCCTTTCTGTCTGCGCCGTGCTATGCCATTCGATCCTCACCCCCATCCTTTTTCCCCCGCGCCCCGCCCACCCCGCGGATGTTCTTCCAGCTCGGGGGGAGAAAATATGTCCCTGGGCATGTCCTGGGGTACGTCCCTGGCCACCTGGCTTGGAGCGGTCACGCCACGTACACCCCTGTCACTGCCAACCATCTGGCCGCTGCTCCCTCCTCCGCACGGCTCAGTGCTGTGCCTTCTCCTCGGTGCGACGCGGTACGCCTTTCGTGGTGTCCCACTGCGCCCCCTACCAACTCCTGCCGCTGGCTGCCGCCCTCCCACCGCCATTGCCGCCCTCCCACCGCCCAGGCCCCCCAGAGCACCCCGAGTAGGCGAGATCCGCCGACCCTTCGGCGTGCGTGAGACGCTGTCGACGTCTTCGTCTTCGTCGTCGTCGCCGCCAGTCCCAAGGAGACTCGGGAACGAGCAGAAGAAAGAATCGTCGTGGTCCCGCCTTCAGGATCGGCGGCGCAGGAGGAGGAGGAGGAGGAGGAGGAGCCATCAGGCCTTCACAATGTGACTTCGAACCCCGATCCTTGAGCCTCGATCCCCCTCCAATTCCCCCTACCGCTCTCCCCACCAGGCTCCCGACGTCGGGTTGTTGTTCGCAACGTGGCCCCCGAGGTCTGGACCCCTTCCCAGGGAACAGGTCTTCGTGCCGATCGTTGAGGGCTTCTGGGGCGACCACGAGTTGCTCTGACTGTCTCTGGAGATCTCTGGATTGACCTGGACGTGCCAGGATTACCTGGATGTATTGGCATGTGCCTTGATTTCTCTGGCCTGATCCCTACAAATCGATTGGCGAAAAGTCGACAGGCCCTTGGGGATCCGAGCTGGTCCCCCCCCCCAAAAATATTTAATGGGGTTGTTGTGTTCTTCCCACCCGCGTCTCACCCGCGTTTCTCCTCACCTCACCACTCCTCCTTCTTTCTTAGCCATCCTCACCTCTCCTCCTCCATTCCTCCACGCTCATGCGCGCATTAGACACCCGCACACAAGGCATGCGCACACGTCCGCGCACGCACTAGCCGCGCACATGCATCAGAGGCGTAAGCAGCACGACACAACACACGTCATCAACATGCTACGCGCGTCCACATACAGCCGCACACGCATCAGACATCACCCACATGAGACACACGTCCAGATACAGCCGCACACGCACCATGCACATGACACGCACACCACACAACGCATGAGCACCACAAGGGGGTGCAATGGGGGTGGTCTCCCTATCCGCTTCGGGCTCGCAAAGCGTGACAGGCGCGACACTCCCTCGACACCACAGGGGCTGCGCAAGGGGTGGTCTCTCAGCGCGGCCTCTATGCGTGCCACGGTCGGAGAGCGGGGCAGGCGTTGCATCTTCTCGACACCAGAGGGGGGGCGCAGGTGGGGGTCCCTGAGCGCGGTCTCTGCACGCTCCAGGCTCGCAGGGCACGGCAGGCGTGGCACGAGGCGGTGCGCAGGGGGTGGCCCCTGAGCGCGGTCTACACGTACACGCTCCAAGCTCGCAGGGCACGGCAGGCGTGGCATGTTCTCGACTCCAGAGGGGGTGCGGGGGGTGGCCCATGAACGCGGTCTCTATGCGTTCCAGGCTCGCAGGGCGCGGCAGGCATGACAGATTCTCGACACAAGAGGGGGTGCGCAGGGGGTGGCCCCTCAGCGAGATCCCTATACGCTACAGGCTCGCAGGGCACGGCAGGCGTGGCATTTGCTCGACACCAGAGGGGGTGCGCAGGGAGTGGTTTCTGAGCGCAGGGTACGGCAGAAGTTACCCTTTCTCGACACCAGAGGGGGTGCGCAAGGGGTGGTCCCTGAGCGCGGTCTCTACATGCTCCAGTCTCGAAGGGACACGGCAGGCGCTGCATGTTCTGGACTCCAGAGGAGTGCGCAGGGGGTGGCCCCTCAGCGCGGTCTCTCTTCGCTCCAGGCTCGCAGGGCACGGCAGGCATGGCATATTCTCGACACCAGAGGGGGCGCGCACGGGGTGGTCTCTATCCAAGCCCGCAGGGCACTGCGCGCGTGGCGCTTTCTCGATTCCAGAGGGGGTGCGCACAGGGTGGTCCCTGAGCGCGGTCTCTATACGCTCCAGGTTTGGAGGCCGCGGCAGAAATGTCATCTTCTTAGTTTCTCTTCGGCGTTGTCCTCGTTTCTGTTCGCACAGCGCGCCAGGCTTCCAAGGCTTGACAGGCGTCACCACTAGTATCGGCGGGGCAACGGCCAACAGCATGATTTTCGCATGTTTCATTGCAGCCATCATCACACCAAACATATTATAAGAATGTGGGGTTCCTCGGTGGCGTAATTGACCGCCCCCGGGCCCGGGGCTCCCCGAAGCCGAGAAAGGCCAGAATCCATCCGTCCTGATGTTCCACGGCGCGCGGATGCCAGACTCTCGGGTTCTAGCTCTGCCCGCTCCGGACGGTGCACGCACACCCGGAACGCTCTCGGCGAGACGCAACTGCTGGAAGAGGTCTTGAAGATGGAAATCTTACGGGGACCACCGAACACGTCCGAAAATCTGGGCCGTCGTTGCCTTGTGACCGCCGACGCTCGAAGGCCTTCCGTCGCGAACTTCTCACGGCCCGAAGAGGCCTGGGGCCCCCCCGCCCCCGCGGACAGTGCCCAGGTCTACGTATCCTCCCTCGTCTCCTCCCTCTGTTCTCCTCCTCCTCCTCCTCCTCCTCACCGTCCTGCTCTTCCACCTCCCCCTCCTCCCTCCATCTCCCTTCTCCTCCTCCTCATCCATCCTCCTCCTCATCCATCCTCCTCCTCCTCCTCCTCCTCCTCCTCCTCCTCCTCCTCCTCCGCCTCCTCCTCCTCTGTCCCTCCTCCTCCTCCTCCTCCTCCTCCTCCTCCTCATCAATCATCATCATCATCATCATCCATCATCATCATCATCATCATCATCATCATCATCATCATCATCATCATCATCATCATCATCATCATCATCATCATCATCATCATCATCATCATCATCATCATCATCATCATCATCATCATCATCATCACATCATCATCACATCATCATCATCATCATCATCATCATCATCATCATCATCATCATCATCATCATCATCATCATCACCATCATCCATCATCATCATCATCATCATCAGCATCGTCATCATCATCATCATCATCATCATCATCATCATCATCAGCATCATCGTCGTCGTCATCATCAGCAGCAGCATCATCATCATCATCATCATCATCATCATCGTCATCATCATCATCATCATCATCATCATCGTCATCGTCATCAGCATCATAAGCATCATAAGAATCAGCATCAGCATCAGCAGCAGGAGCAACAGCAGCAGCATCATCAGCATCATAAGAATCAGCATCAGCATCAGCATCAGCAGCATCAGCATCAGCATCAGCATCAGCATCAGCATCATCATCATCAGCATCATCGTCGTCGTCATCATCATCAGCAGCAGCATCATCATCATCATCAGCATCAGCATCAGCATCAGAATCGTCATCATCATCATCATCATCATCATCATCATCATCCGCCTCCTCCTCCTCCTCATCATCATCATCAGCAGCATCATCATCATCATCATCATCATCATCATCATCCGCCTCCTCCTCCTCATCATCATCATCAGCATCATCATCAGCATCATCATCATCTTCTTCTTCTTCTTCATCTTCATCTTCATCTTCATCTTCATCTTCATCATCCTCCTCCTCCTCCTTCTCATCCTCCTCACCGTCCTGCTCTTCCTCGTCCTCCTCCCTCTTACACCTCCTCCTCCACACTTACACAACATGAATACTACTCGGCTATCTCCCCTGGTGACGTCCAATTTTTAACACGCAGGTTTCCCGGGAAACGGGTTTTCACTTGGGTTTCTTGCTCAAAATGCTGATCTTGCTGAGGCGCTGGCCTCATTCTCGGGCCACCGCCCGTTCCGAATTGTGCTCCCGCTGCAGCGCTGGCCTCATTTCCGCGCTTCCACTCCGTCCGAATCGTGCTCCCGCTGCAGCGCTGGCGTCATTATTTCCAGCGCCATGCCACGGCATGGTTCTCGTAGGCTCCAAAATCTAGAAAATTCCCCCGACAAAACCATCGGAAGTGATCACACATTCGGTGTCGATTCGTTGATTTTTTGGGTCGCAGAAGCCCACCCACTTTGGGACGTCGCCACGCCATGCTATGTCAGGCTCCGCGTCCTGCGAATCGTGCTCCCGCTGCAGCGCTGGCCTCATTTCCACGCTTCTGCTCGTTCCGAATCGTGTTCCCGCTGCAGCGCTGGGTATTTCCAGCGCCATGCCACGGCATGGTTTCGGTCCTTCCAAATAGGCTCCAAAATCTAGAAAATAGACTCCCAAAGAAACCATCCGAAGTGATTACACATTCGCTGTCGATTCGTTGGTTTTCTGGGCCCCCACTTTGGGGCGTCGCCACGTCATGCTATGTCATGATACGCGTTGATCTTCAACACCATGCTATGCCATGTAATGCTATGCCATGCTACGACATCCGATTGTGCAATTAGAGAGAGAAGGGCGGGAGGGAGGGGTAGAACGTCAGGTATGACACGAGCGCACCTAGCTAGTCCTCCTCCTCCTCCTCATCTTCTTCCTCCTCCTCATCCTCATCTTCCTCATCCTTCTCCTCCTCCTCCTCCTCTTCCTCCTCCTCCTTCTCATCCTCCTCACCGTCCTGCTCTTCCTCGTCCTCCTCTCTCCATCTCCTGTTCCTGCTCCTCCTCCTCCTTCTCCTCCTCCTCCTCCTCCTCCGTCCTGCTCCTGCTCCTGCTCCTGCTCGTGCTCCTGCTTCTCCTTCTCCTCCTCCGTCTCCTCCTCCTCCTCCTCCACCTCCACCTCTCCTCCTCCTCCTCCTCCTCCTCCTCCGCCTCCTCCTCCTTATTATTCTCCTTCTCCGTGCGTGGCGGAGTTCGAACTGACTAGGCGTCCGGGGCACCCCGTAAGAACTGGGGACACGTTCGACTTAGTCAGAGGCAGTATGTGCACTCGCGGGGAGCACCAGACCCGACAGCGACAATTTCCGTATGCTATCGTGCGCTTGCGATGCACTTTGAACCAAAGCTAGGGTTTGCGATGCAAGCTACCTCACAGATGGGCTTTGCCCTTGCGGCCAGCGTGACACGTTGCACCATCGATTCGGTAATTGCACCCGTCCCGAGACAATCCTTGCTAGACGAAACTCAGGCATAGACGCGTCTGATCCGGAGCGGGCACGAGGTGGTGACCCTGTGTTCACTCGTGAGCCGGTTATAGTGACGAAGATGTGCCCCCTCCCCCCATGAGTACCAATTGTGATACTTGGACGGCACAGGAGCGGACCTCAACCTCCAACCCGAGGAGCTTCCCTCTCTTACAGGAGATTCCATCACCCTCGAGATGGCGGCCGACGGCAGCTGCACCGGGCAGGCCCTCCGCTGCTTGCACCGTGCGAGCTGGTCCACAGCGCTGCTGGAGGAAGGCTCCGAGTTTCTTGCCATCCTTGGGGATATTGTCCCAAGCGGCCTCCCCCAATCCCCTGCCGTGGCTGAGCCTGCTGCTGCTGCTGCTGCTGCCATGTGTGGCCAAGTAGCTGACAGGCCAATCCAACTTGCTCTGGATCGTGAGGCCGTGATTTGCCAGACCCAGAGACCAATGTGGAAACAGCTTGCTGGGTGCGCGCCAGCTCGCGCACACTCTGCCTGGGACCGAGTTTTCGTCCACTTCTCATGCCAGAGCACATCGAGAACAGGAGGTTCGCGATAGCCTCACTGAAAATGGGCGTAGGTCTGGGATCGCTTACCGTGCTGTGGATGAGCACGCCAAGCAGGCCCACATAGGCGGCCCACGGCCCGATCGTGTCCTCTCCAGGATAAAAAGTTCTATCAGTTGTGTGCTACTGCGCCTGTAAACTTAACATCGAAGCTGATATCTCTATGTATATAGATATATCTATGTATATATATATATGTGTGTGTGTGTCTCTCCCTCTCTCTCTCTCTCTCTCTCTCTCTCTCTCTCTAGAAAAGTGATGTGCGTTGGAAACGAGCCCCCTTTCTCGCCCAGTCGAGACCCCGTCAGAGCAGGTCTTGGCACCTTTGGTGGTGGTCCGAACTCGGGATGCGGTGTCGAATGTGATGGTTACTCTGCGACAGTCCTGAACGACCAATGCATGGGTGTAAGGGCGCACATCCTGCTCTGAAAAAGCTGCTGCACGACCCCGAGGGCCACTGTCTCGTCGCTATGTCGAGTGTGGCTCTTTCCTTTGCGTCGGGTCCTGGGGCCAGGCTGGACCTGCGCCGTGAGCAGCAGATTCTGTGTTTGAAGTGCGGGGGTTGGAGCCCAGGGAAGATGGTGAAATTGGCAGCGGTTTGCCAAAAGCGATCGCGTAAGGGAGTAGATATCCTCAGAAGGCTTCGGCGTGGCCTTGGACCTAACATGCGTGTGCGTGGGGTAGTTGACAAGGCTTTGGCTGCGGAACGGCTGGTTCCCTCCCACACGATTTTGAACGCCCACCCTGAGAGGAGGGCAACATGCGTTCCAAGAAGTTTGGCGTGACTCCCCCTCGGTTCCCGCACATGAGCAGAGGATGGCGACCCTAGTCGCCAGAATTCGAGCTAAAGAAAAAAGCACAGGCCGAATGAGGAATGGGGAACATAACTCGGGTCTGTCCCCCTCAGCTTCTGGTGATGTCACCTCCCTGTCTTCATGGCACCGTCCATCCATCCTCCAGTTCCTCCTCCTCCTCCTCCTCCTCATCCTCCTCTTCCTCTTCCTCCTCCTCATCCTCATCATCATCATCATCCTCAGTATCGTCCTCCTCCTCCTCCTCCTCCTCATCCTCCTCCTCCTCCATCCATGAAGCCGTCCCTCCCTTTTTCTCGCCCTCTCGCCCCCTCCCTCCCCTGCGCCAGACATTCCTCCCTCCACCCCTCCCTCCCTCCGCCCGCGCCCGCCCCCCCGCCGCGGACGTTGTCCAGGTCTATCCTCTCGCCGCTGCGCGCCGCGCCGTCGAAGTCGATGAGCTTCCTCGGCCCCCCACCCCAGGCGGGCTGGACCCACCAGCGCTCGCCAGGGGAAACCTCAAGAGGAGATCGGGCGGGGGGGGCCATATAGAGAGAGGAGGAGGAGAAGGAGGAGGAGGAGGAGGAGGAGGAGGAGGAGAAGGAGGAGGAAGAGGAGGAGGAGGAGGAGGAGGAAGAGAGGAGAAGGAGGAGGGGGAGGAAGAGGAGGAGGAGGAGGAGGAGAAGGAGGAGGAGGAGGGGGAGGAGGAGGAGGAGGAGGAGGAGGAGGAGGAGGAGGAAGGAGGAGGAAGAGGAAGAGGAACGGAGGACGGAGGAGGAGGAGGAGGAGGAAGAGGAACGGTGGAGGAGGAGAGAGGAGAGAGCAGAGAGGCTAGCTAGGTGCGAAGGCGACATATCTGACGTCCTACCCCATCCCTCCCATCCCTTACCATTGCGTAGAGATTCTCTCTATTCGCAGGGTCGGATGTCGAACAGGGCAATGATCCCGAGAGAGTACGCGAGGCATGGATTATAGCACAGCGTAGCATGGCCTCGCGTCGAGAACGCGACTAGTTCGACAACAAGGCCAGAGGGAAGCCAGGAATGACACAGGACGGGAAATGCAAATGGGCGATTTTGAAAGCGCGGAGACCAAAATGAGGTCAGCGCTGCAGCGGGGCGCGATTTCGAAGGAGCGAAGCCGCGGAAATGAGACAAGCGCTGCAGTGGGAGCAAGACTGGGAAGGACTGGAAGCGCGGAAACGAAGCCAACGCTGCAGCAGGAGCACGATTTGGAAGAGCCGAAACAGTGAATTGAGGTCAGCGCTAGAGCGGGAACATGATTTGGAAGGACTGAGACCGGGAACATGAAGTCAACGCTGTAGCGGGAGCGCCGTTCTGAAAGAACTGGAAACGCTCGGATTTGGAAAAACACATATGAATGATCAACTCGGCGGCATCCCGTGCGCAAGAGAGCAATACGTGCAGGAGGCCAGGACACCTCACTGGCGTTTTTTCGGGGGAGCGAGGAGAATCCGCCGACCCGGTCGGCGTGTGGAAGAGGCTCGTTCATTCGTCGCTGTTTCATTCGTCGTCTCCTCGTCGTCGTCGTCGCCGTCGCCATTCCAAGCTGGGTCTCCTTCTCCAACGCGCCAGCCGTTGTCGCTCTTACCCTTGGCCTTTCTCTTCAAGCGTGCTAGCCAAAACGACAATAACGAACGTCGTAATTCATTTGAAGGGAAGCCCCTTCCCTTGATCCCTTCCCCGCCAGGGAGGGGGTGTCCGGGGGTGGGTCCCGGGGGGAGGGGATCCCGGGAGGGGGGGGGTCACGGAAGGTGCGGGGTCAAAATGCTCCCCCCGGGGGGTCCCAAAGCACAAAAACACCCGAGACGAACCAAGACTGCGACGGGAGCAAAGCGCCGATCCGAAAAATGAGGCCCTCGCTCCAGCGGCAGCAATATGTGTATATATATATATATATATACATGTATATATACATATTGAAACACCGACATCACCCAGATTCCCCCCCGAAAAAAACAGAAGGCAGGCCACGCTGGCCCGATTCAAATACGCGGATAGGGCGGAACATCTTCCGGCCAGCGTCAGGGGAGAGAGAATAGTATTCACATTGTGAGATTGAGGACAGGAGGAAGAAAAAGAGAACGAGCAAGATTCATCAACGATGTTGCAAATGACCCTCCCTCCAAGTTCGCTCTTCATAGGTCCCTACAAAGATTGACTCTCGTTAGGGGAAATGCCCCGTTGGAAGACAACCGTCTGAAAATCCTGAACCGTGCCAAAATGCCATTCCTGGGACTTCAACGCCGCGAATCAACATTACTGCTGCGTCCTCACGGTCCTGAATCGTGCCAAAACACCGCTCATGGGACTTCAACACCTCGAATCAACGTGACTGTTGAGCCCTGATAGTCCTACATCCGTCATGACACCATTTTTGGGGACGCCAACCATAAGAATCCTTGAAACTGCTACAAGCTCTTGACACAAATGTGCGCGGCGCTCAAGCAAAAACCACATCTCGAAAAGGAACTGCTTCCATCTGTGAAACGCAGGCAAGCGTTTAAGACGAATGTGCGCGGCACTCGGACAAGAGCCACATGTTTAAAACAGCCCGCCCTCCATCCGTGAAGCCCTTGTACAAACGTGTAAAACGAGTGTGCGCGGCGCTGAAGCGAGGGCCACATTTTAAAAACCACCCGCACTCCATCCGCGAAAATGGTGCACAGTTCACGCTCGAGGATCATTTGTGGTGAGGACGTCGCAGGCGAAATGCCTGGCCCGCCCTACTGACACATTTCCGGATGCGACGGGGAGGAGGTATGTATAAGGAAAGGGATGCAGGAGGAGGAGGAGGAGGAGGAGGAGAGAGGAAAGGGAAGAAAGGATATGGCAGAGACGATACGGGAGAGAGGCAAGAGGAGACAGGCAAGCCAGGCGCTTTCGCGCCATCTCTAACATCCTACCCCTCCCACCCGTCCCTGCCCATTGCGCAGATGTGTGTGTGTGTGTGCCTATCCGTCTCCCTTCTCCTCCTTCTGGGTCGTCCCCACAGCGGGGGTCGGTCCTCTTTTGTTTGAGCGTCGGTGTATCCCGCTGGCGGGTTCGCTTTGCCCGTCGTCTCTTTTACTCGGTCGCCGGTTGGTCGGAGTGGTGCGACGTCTGCGGTGGTGCGTACAAGCTGTTTGGGGCCTCGATTGTGTGCCCTATATTGCCCGGCTTTGCTTCCACCTGCCTCGACGGTAGCCGTTCGCGGTTCCACCTGCGGTTGGGGTTTGCTGTTTGAACGCTGGCGTCTGCATTGTACGCTCAGCCATGCTCGCGCCCTGTTCACCACACATGTGCGGCGCCGCGTTTCTTGGCTGATGCTCGTGGTCGCCAGCGTTCTGCTCTGTTCGTCCAAGGCCAAGCCAGCCTCGGCCGCGTGGTCATCATTCATCACGCCGACCTCATGCACGCTGTTGCGCGGTCGATGAGTCCGTTCTTGCTCGGTGCAGGGTCGGTGGCGTTGCTTTGTCGCGTTGTTTCCCTGCTTCTATGCACCGCCACCAGGTTGGCTGGTCTGGCAGCCTTATAGCTGTTCTTTCTTGTTGCTGTCACTTCGCGGCTTCAATTAGCACCAGACTGCTGCTTGCGCTTCAAGCTACCCACGTCGAGTTCATGTTCATCGGGTTGTTTTGGCCGCTGCACTTTGGCATTGCAGCGCCTCTCGTTTTTTCACCACCACTCTGCAAGGCCTGACTGGGTTTGCTTCATCATGGCGCGTTCGATAAAATTCGTTCGCATTGGCACCTCCAGCTGCCGACCGCGCCTGAAGATCCTCTGCGCCGCCGACTTAAGAATGTGTGTGTGGGTCTATCCGCGCGTGCGTGTCATAGCGGACCTGTAACTCCCAAAGAGACCTCCTCGTGTTATGCGCAATCGGAAAAGTGGGGCTGCGCACATAGGATAAAGAGAGGAAGAGGAGGAGAGGAGGTGACGGATCAGCAGGCGGAAGAGCAGGAAGGAAAGGAAGACGAGAAAGAAGAATGAAGAGGAAAAGAACAAGCAGCAGCGGCGGGAACTAGAGCGGATGGAGCCGGAGGAGCAGGAGGCCCAGGGGAAGGCGGAGGAGGGGAAAAGAGGGGGGCGAAACCAATGAGGAAGGCCTGGCATCCAGAAACGTGGCCCGCGATTGGACGAGAGCAACATTCCGAACGACGGGAGCAAAGCACCGATCCGAAAACGAGGCCAACGCTGCAGAGGCATCAGCACGTTGAGACACCGAAACACTCCGATTGCAAAACAAATGCCAGGAAGACACACTTTTGAAAACCTGTGGAAAACAATACGCGGATAGGGCAGAACATCTTCCCGACAGAGTCATGGTGTCGACGTGGTGAGTTGTTTCACCACACGCGGGCGTGCCCTGCTGAAGGCAGATCAACATAGGCTAAACCCTCCCTCCGCCCTAGCGTCGGGTTTGTAACAGAAAGTGGCGCCAGGAAGGGAGGTGGGTGGATGTGGCAGCAGTGATCTCCAACACTGCTACCATACTGACTTCCCCTCCTCATCCTGCTTGTACTTCGCCCGCCCACACGGTGGGCGGGCACAAGCAAAAAGGCGCAGACAGATGAGATCCGCGGATGGGATCATAGCGGGAATTTCGCCCCGAAGGGTCTCCACCGGAGGCGCCAAAACAGACCTCCACTGGAGGCTGAAACGAGCCGCGAATGGGCCCCCTGCGGGATCTTCGCTCCGAAAGTCCTCGACAGAAGGACGACGCAGGCTGCGACTCAGCCGCCCGCGGGATCTTCGCCCCCAACGGTCCCCCACTGGAGGAAAAAAATATTACGCGGAGGCTCCTCCCCGAAACGCCCTCCACTGGAGGATAGCGTTGGTAGGAGGCAGCACGTGCGACGTCGAGCGCTCCGCTCATCGGTCAGAGTCTGGACCACCGCACGATCGAACGTGATTCGCTGTTCGTGCACTTCCAGGCTTCCAGGATTTCCTCCTCCTCGGCCACGTTTTCCCCCGCCGCGCCGTCGCCGCCGCGCTCCCGGCGAACCCAGCACACGGGCCCCGACCCCGAGCCGAACGGGGGCTCTTGCCCCGCGCTCTGGTCCTCCTTGCGCTCCTCGCGCTCCTCGCGCCCCTTCGGGGCCGGCGCGCCACCCCGGGGCGCCTGCTTGGCCGTTGGAAACAGGATCTGGCGACCACCGTCGGACTCCTCCTTGACCGCGACGCGCCTCGCGCGAGGCGGCGCCCGACTGCGGCCCCGTCGCTCTGCGTCGCCACCCGACAGGGGCGACGCTCTCACGCCGTCACGGCCACCCACGGCAATGGGCCAGGCGGTCTGCGGTTCGCACGCACAGGCGCGCGCTCGGGCCTCAGCGGCTGCGCGGCGCACGCTATCACAAGAAGGGGAGAGGACGACGTAGGACGGAGGACCGCGTCGCTTCCCGCCACCTGTCGCCTGGCCTCGCTCGATGGCCTGAGCGCCCATTTCGCGCGCCCGCGCGTTCGACCCGTTCCCATGAACTCCCGTACCTCGTCGCTCAGACCCTTTTTCATCCGTCTGATATCATCCACCAGCTAGGGAACCACCTTAACATCCCTCTGTTTCCATCGCCCTGCGGGCCGCGCGACGCGTGAGAGTTCAGCGCGGGGAGCCACGCAGCGTCGTGCCGATCGTCGGGGATGTGACCTTCGATCTTCACACGATGGCACAGACTCCGACAGTCGGTGAACAGCGCAAGCGGCATCTGCGCCTCGCCGCACTCCACCGCCAGCGCGTCGCTCCATCCGTGCAGGGCCTCGCACAGGAGCGCCCGCATGCAGTAGGCCATACCATGGCCCACTAGGCACGCCGCTGCCTCGGCGGAGAACGTTGACGCAACCACGCGATGGATCGCCCGACTGCGCAAACCAAGGATGCACACTGGCAGCTCTTCCTGCTCCACACAATCCAGGTCGACAACGGCCACCACCACTCCGGTCCGTGACCTGACCTTGCGACGGTCGAACCTCTTGAAAACCGTCCATACTCCCATACGGCCCTTGCTAGGGACGATCCTCAGGCAGGTGTCGTGGCTGGCCTCGAGGTCCCTGATGAACGCGTTCAGCTCCCGGGCGTCCGCATGGGTGGGCTCCTTCTGCAGCTTCTGGAAGCGGTTCGTCTCGAAGGCCCAATTCAACTGGCACTGCCCGGCCAGCCAGTGCTGGGAGCCCACCGCCGACTGAAACTCCGCTCTACCGAGCGGGGGGAGCGGCGTCTCCCCTTTCTCCGTGCGACTACAGTTGACCTCCCCCAGGCGCCCGTCAATAAACTCTGGCATGCTGACCTCAACGCAGTCCCCGTTCACCATGACCCGACAACCAGCGTAGAGGTCGCCGATGGCCTGTCCTGACACCACTGCCCACGACCCGAAAGGGAATACGTCCTTAAGATTGGCCTCCTTGCCCCGCATTCCCGCACTGCCGTCGCGCGCGACCACGCAGTCGTCCGCATGGGCGATCACAATACCCGCAAGACGGTCGCCCTGGTAGAAGCAAAGGAAAGCCACGTCCAGTTGCAATTGCTTCCAGCTCATTTCTTCGACCAGGGCCTTGCGGAAGGCGTTGAACCTTGCTTGCGGGGCGCCCGGCAGCCCGCATATTTCTCCCGATCTCGAGCAACTGGCCCGGCTCTAGCCCGGGCAGGCCGCCCCGCGGCTGTCGCGCACACAGCGCCCCCTGGCCCTGGCGTGGCCCCCCTTGGAGGAATGCGCTCGAAATGTCTCCGATCGCCAACTGGGGAATCCATCCGAGATTTGCAGACAGCTGCAGAAAAGCATGGAAACCGGACCGCTGCACCGCGGGGGCGTCGGTCTTGACCGCCCTAGCTTCGCGTCGGGGCCACGTTGGCCCTGCGCGCGCAGCCGAGATTTTCGCTTTCGCCGGGAGCGGGGCCCCGGCGCCGCGCACTGCCGCGTTCTCGTCTTTCAGTTGCACGTCGCCGCCGAGGATTCGCTGACGACCCACACGTTCGCAGCACTTCCTCCGACTCGTCCGGCCCCAGCACAGCCGCGCGCTTCACCGCGGCCGCGAGCCCCACTTCTTCTCGATCGCTGCGCGGAAGTCCCCACGATGCATCGGCGCGATTTCTCCCCGCCCCAGCTCTCGATCTTGGGTCTCGCGGCCCAGCGCGGCGGGCGGCGCGCCGACATTCCTCCGCGCGCGGGTCGAGAACCGACCTGCTTGGACCCAGCCACTCGTCTCATCGTCGCGGGCATCTCCACTGCGGCGAGCGTCGGCTCGCGCCCCCGCTTCTGGTTTTCAGGGGCGACCAGGAACGGCACCCCGCCATGCTGCACCCGCGCGTTGTCGTTCTTCCGGCCGATCACTGCAGCAGGGCCGCACCGTTCTGGCTCGCTCACTCGGCGGCCCTTTTCTGTTCGGGAGGGCCTGGAGAAGAACGCCTGCCCCGATTCGCTCCAGCCCTTAGGGTTGCCGCAGCTCCGCGCGGCCGCCGCTCGCCGGGCCAGCTCTTGGCTCTTTGTCTCGATGAGGGACCACTGGCAGTGCTCGCGGATCTTGAGTCGCCCAGTCAGCGGGCCACCCTTATCGGCAACGCAAGGGCGGCAACTCACCGCCTTGCCCTCGTGCCAACACCCGCCCACCAGCTTCATCTTCCGTCCGACTAGAAGCAGAGACGGGCCGCAGCCGCACTGACCCGGGAAGCGATTCAAAGCGGAGGCCGTCTCCCATGCAGGAGTCTTCATTTCGTCCAGGCCACCATAGGCTCCGTGCCGGATACTCTTCTTCATGACACCTTTTGCCTTCTGCATCTCGCGCGCCACCTCGCCCTGCTGCCAAGGGGCACTCGCCGCGGTCGGGTCGCAGGCGCTTCCGCTGCGCGACAAGGCGCCCGCGAAACTGCCGCTGACGAGCCCCCGCTCGCTGTCGCACGCTAACTGGTCGGGCGGGCCAGCCCAGGACAACCGTGGTCTTTCGCGCCGCTCCCACAGTTCACTGCCGCGCCCCTGCACTAGCCCGATCGCGCAGCATCCCGCGGCCACGTCCTGCGCCAGCATGAACCACCAGCCTTCACCACTTCAATCGCTGACCTTGAACAGGTCCGCCTGGACCACCTCGTCGACAGTCAGATCGCCCTCGCGCAAGCGGGCTGGGCGCGGACGTAGCTCACGCTGCCGCTCGGCATAGCTCGAGCACCGCGGCGCCTCGGCACCAGCGACGGCCACCTCAGACCCGCCTGCTCTCGCCACCACGCGCGCCACGTCGTCTGGGCGGGCGCGCCCTGCGTTGACGCGCAGCCTCCTTGGGTTCGGCCGGGGCTCGGGCGCCGCGCGCTCTTGCATTGTCTTTCCCGCCGCCGCGCCGGGGAACTGGAACGCAGCGCCGTCCAGCACGGCTGCTCCGCTGTCTCCTTCCGCCGCGGCCACAGGGTACCAAGCACCAGAGATCGGCCCTTCCACGGCCCCGCGCCGGCGCGCCCCGCCACGGGAACGCGCCCGATTCGGCTGGTTCTTTCCGGCTCTGATCCCCGGAGGAACTGCCGCAGCCCGCGCAAGGTCCAGAGAGCCATCGGGCGCCGCCGCGCCTGAAACCAGCCGACCGGACCGCCCCCCGCCCTGACGACGGCGCACCCCCTCCAGACCTCGGCGGCGATGTCCGCGCAGTTGGTGGCCCGCCAACTCGGACTCCGGGCAGCGCCCTCGCTCCACCGACCCGTCGGGTCGCATAAGCCGCCGCGCACCGTTTCGACCGAAGGTTTTGCGGACAGTGTCTGGACGGGGTTCTCGTTCCGCACCTGCGCGCACTGGCGCGCAGCGTTCCAAGGTTTCCCGGGCCTCGACCACCCTCAGCGCCCACGTCACCATCGAGCCCCCGTTTGGAATCTCAACCGCCGCCAACCCGGGCCTGACCTACGTCAACATCGCCAGGCTGCGCCCCGGTTCTCTCCCCAACGGAGGTCACCGCCGCACGTCGCATCCCACGGCTGCAAGCACCGCCAGCCCCTCTTCGATCCTACGCGGCCGACCTCGCTCGGGCCACTGAAGAGCCCCACCGCGCCCGCTCGATCGGTGCCTCAACGCTGCTGGGCCCACTGGCCGCCGCTGATCAGGCGCACCCCGACTCCGAGCACATCCGCGGCGAGCGCGACGTTCGCGAGCAGCGCCCCGCACCTTCTCTACACATGCTTGGCAGCCTGTCCCGTCAGGCGTCGGCTCCAGGGGACGCCGCCCCCTGTCCGGCCCGACTGGCCCTCGTGGCGGCCAGCGCCGGCGGCCAGCACCGGTCGCGTCGCGCGGCTCTCCGCCACGGCGGCCCATGACACCGCGGGCCCCTCCCCAGAGCCCACTTCCATGGTCACTTCCGTCTTGATCCCCGTGGACCCCTTCTTGGGGGTCAGGCCCCTCGGCCTCGGGCCCGGGACCGGAATCCACTCGGTCTCCGCTTGTGCGTCGCGCGCGTGCTGGTCTCGGATGAGCCCACCTTTGTTATGTCGCGTCCGTCCGCTCGCGTCAGCCCGAACTCCCTGATCGCGGCCTCTTCCTGCAGTTTCGCCAGCACCATATTCGCTAACTCCACCGGCAGGGTGGCCCCCGGGTCGCCCTCCGCCGTCTTTTCCTCATGGGAGGCGCCCTTCCTTTCCTAAAGCGCAAGCCTCAGTTGACCAGCGGTCTCCGCTTCCACTCGATCCCGACGCCACCCCAGCCCCCGCGCGGCCATTGTCACCACTCGGCCTTGCGCGTCTGCAAGATGCTCCGAGGGCGGCCCCCCCTCTGCCTGAGGGCCCCCACCTCCTCCTCCAGAAACCCCACCAGGAGCCCCTGGAACCAGGCCTTACAGACCAGGAAAATAACTTGCTGGAGCCAGCCTCCCTCGCACCGCCCGGCGCGACACCTCGCGACCGTCGGGCGCCACGTCGGCGCCCGCTCGCGCGCGAGCGCCCCTGCCGCCCAGGATCTCACCAGCTCGCGGCCGCGGTGGTCTTGAGCCGAGAGGGGCTGCGGTCGCCGCCGTTGCCGCGGCCTCGTCTCGATCGTCTCCCGCGACCTCGTCTCGCTCGTCGTCGTTCAGCCGCCCGCCCATGTAGGGCGCGCAGCACGCGCCCTCTGGTGACGGGCCGCGCCCGTGGAAAGCGACCCAGGCACCGCCCAGGCACTGGCCCGCTGCTTCATCCGCCCACGCGCCGGGCCCTGCAGGCCCGCAGCCGAGGGCAGACATCGCCATGTGCTCCGAGCTCAGCTCTTTGAGCGGCAGATGGCTCCTGCCGGCCGCACCCGGGGCGATCTCGCCCTCCCCCACGCGGACGCGCGCCTCCAGCTCCTTCAGGGCACCGCCCGAGGTCAGTGGCGGCACATCCTTGCCCACCAGGCCGAGGCGGACCATGACCCCTTTGCCGCCCCGTTCCATGGGCACCAACACCGCCGCGCGGCTGTAGATCGCACTGCCAGGCCCGAACCTATAGGGCTCGCGCTCCCCCGCGACCGTGATCACGCTCATACCCCTGCGTCTTCTCGGCGCACGACGACGACAGCCGCCCGCGCCACGAGAGGTCCCGCCACGGACTTGGCGCACGCCGCGTCGACCACGATCAGCCACAGCTCGTCGCGGGTCTCGGCGATCAGCGCGCTCCGTGGGTCCACGAACGCGAGCGCCTCCTCTGGCGTCGGCTCCGCCTCGCCGACGGGCTGACTCACCACAGCAATTGGCCTTCCCCCGTCCTTGCCAGAGGCCCCCTGGCATTCCGGGCCGCCCTTCCTGCGGCTCAGACGCCCGCAGCGCTTGCACGGAAGAGTTCGCGTGAGCATCTTGACTCGCTCGGCGTTCGCGCCGCTGCCGCCCTTCGCGCCGCCGCGGTAGAAGTCGCGCGCTTCCTCCGCCCCTGCGCGGGCCTTCTTCGCCCGGGCCATCATCGCCGCGCTGCCCGCCTGGAAGTCCAGCAACTCCCCGGGAACACTTTCGTGCTCGGCCGCTCCTCTGCTCCCCGATACCCCTTGGAGTCCATCTCCTCGTCGTACTCCCCGTCCCCGGGACATTCACCGTCGTCGCCCGCGGCTTCATCCAGGTCGCCCTCCTGGCCGCCGCGCACCGCGTGCACGGAGCGACCCCCGCCGCGGCCAGCGGCCCTTCCTGGCCTCCGACGGTTCCGGTTCAGGTACCCCCCGTGAACGCCGCCTCCGCCGTCCGCACTCGGCGGCAGAGTCGGCGTCTTCCGCGGCATCGACACTCGGGGCAGGCATGCCTTGGCGGAGCCCCGCAGCTTCTCGCAACCCAGCTTTTTGCCGACACCCGCGATGTTCTGGCTCTCCTTGTCGCCTCCCACTCGCAACTTCTTCAAGAAGTAATGAGCCTTCAGGTGTTTGGTGAGAGGCTCGCCCATGGCCTTCTCCAGCTCGCGGATCTTCGTCTCGCAGCGCGTCTCGAAGTCCAGCACCTCCTCACCAACGTTGCGCGCGAGCTCCCCGACGAACCCGTCCACTAGCGTGCCGACCTTCAGCGTCTCCTGCTGTCAGTACATGCTGTGCAGGTAACGCAGGAGCACCTGGGCGTCGGGCACCGCGAGGGCCTCGGGGTCGAGATTCTCCATTTTCGCCTCGGCATCCCCCCCGAGCCTGGAGAACAACCGGCCGCCCCGCCGCGACGGCGGGATCGCGGCGTTCAGCTCGAAGATCTTGACCCGGCGCTCGTAGGTGCAGAATGGCACAGACTTCCCGTCCCACTCGGGGACATACTTTTCGTCTCCCCTGTCGCGCCTATCGCCGTCTCCGGCGGCTCCGCCGACGGCTCGCCTGCCGCCCCGGCTCCAGACATTCGACTGGTCGCTGGACGTCCGATCTCGACCCTGGTCGGTCCTTGCCTCCGCCGCCCTCCCGCCCCTGGCGGGGGTCACTCCAGGCTCAGGCCTGGGCGACCGTTCGCTGGACGCCCGATCCCGACCCTGGTCGGTTACGGCCTCCAGGGTCCACCCGCGCCAGGCGGGCGTCACACCAGGCTCCGGCTTGAGGGGGCCCCAGCGCCCCTGCTCCTCGGACCCAAGACTCCCCAGCTCATGCCAAGGGAGTCCGCAAGTGCCCCAGACATCCCACGAGTCCCATCCGCCGCAGTATCGCCTCGCCTCGGCCGCGGGGGCCCCCTGCGCCACGCGGGGATCCTCCGGCGCGCTGGCGCGGACGTCCGATCTCGACCCTGGTCGGTCCTTGCCTCCGCCGCCCTCCCGCCCCTGGCGGGGGTCACTCCAGGCTCAGGCCTGGGCGACCGTTCGCTGGACGCCCGATCCCGACCCTGGTCGGTTACGGCCTCCAGGGTCCACCCGCGCCAGGCGGGCGTCACACCAGGCTCCGGCTTGAGGGGGCCCCAGCGCCCCTGCTCCTCGGACCCAAGACTCCCCAGCTCATGCCAAGGGAGTCCGCAAGTGCCCCAGACATCCCACGAGTCCCATCCGCCGCAGTATCGCCTCGCCTCGGCCGCGGGGGCCCCCTGCGCCACGCGGGGATCCTCCGGCGCGCTCCGCGGCGGCCTCATGCCGCGATCGGCCCACGTTCCATCATCGGCCGATCGGAAGCCGTCATCGTCTTCTGGGCCACCGCCCCAGGGACTGCCCCCCTTCCCAGCGCGCCGCGCGAGGTCTCTGGCCGCCCACGCGTCCCTTACTGAGGGCATAGTTCCCCACTGGGGTCGGCCTCGCTGAATCCGCACGACTCTCGCGACGGCACTCCGTGCCGTGGATCGAACCCGCTCGACGGTAGCTCGGCTACCAATCAATGTCACGCGATGAGCTTTTTCACCACAAGCGGTCGTGCCCTGCTGTGGGCATTCTGAAATAGGCTAAGGCTTCCCTCTGTCCTAGCGTCGGGAGGGCTTGTAGCAGAGTGGCGTCGGGAAGGGAGGTAGGTGGATGTGGCAGCAGTGATCTTCAACACATGGGAAAGCAGAGAGTTGTATTCATGATGTGTAAGTGCAAAAAGGAGGCAGGAGAGAGGCAGTCTAGGGACAGGTCTGAAGTCCCACCCCTCCCACCTACCCCTGCCCATGGCGCTGTCTTCTATCTGTCCGCGGACGCGTGTCATAACCGGCCTCGAACTCCAAAGAGGACCCCACACCGTGGTTTGCGCAATCGGAAGCGGGAGCTGCGCAAAGTGGAGGACGAGGTGACGCATGAGCAAGAGGAGGAGTAGGAGGAGGAGGAGGAGGAGGAGGACGACGACGAGGAAGGAGGAGGACGAGGACGAACAGCAGCAGTGGCGGGAGCTGGAGCAGAGGGAGAGGGAGAAGCAGGAGGATCAGGGGAAGGCCGAGGAGGGGAAAGGAGGGGGGGCGGCACCGATGAGAAGGAGCTCGGATCCAGAAGAGAGTGGCTCTCGCTGGGGCAAGAGCGCGGGAGCAACCCCGCGAAGCCGCAGGGCTGCATCATGAGGCCCCCTGCGGTCCGAGGAGGCCTCAGAAGGCCCCAAGAAACCCCAGGGAGCACCAGGAGGCCCCGGGAGACACCACGAGAGCACATGAGGCCAGGGTGTGAGGCTCCAGTATGTTCTTGGTGGTGCCCCCAGGAAGCCCTCAAAGGCCTCAGGAAATCCAAGGAGGCCCCCCCAAGAGGCCTCTGGAAACGCAAGGAGGCCCCAGGAGGTCTCAGGAGGCTGTGTCCGGTATGTGGTTCTGGTCGCTGGAACGGGAGGGGGGGATGGAGAGGGGAGGAGGGCGGGGTCCCGGGTCAGAATACCGCGCCAGGATGCACGACAGCGCCACGCAGACATCGGGCCGCATCGGATCGTCGGAAAACCGGGCTCGACTCGCACCGGGCCGCTGGAGATCGCCATCGAACAGAATCGGCCATATCGGAATGGGCACACAAAGGCCGGTCTCTCTTCCCGCTGGCCGCCAAGATCAGGCGCGCACGGCTGCAAGTCGGGCCCGCAGAGAAGACCAGCCAGGCTGACTCACGGGTCGGGCTCACACACAGTCAACCCGTATAATATAAGGATGCGCGGTAGGGATGCAGGGGCCTCGGAGGGCCACGTCTGCGTTTTCCGAGCGAGGTTGGCCAACGAAAGTGGCCAAGCACGGCCCGAAGGGGCAAGGATGCAAGGGCACCACCGGGAAGGCTGCCCATCCTTACCGTGCGGGTCGACTGCACCCCTCGCCCCGCTCGGCCTCAGGCGCGACCCCGCACGGCGCGGAAGTGCAGCAGGAGCCCCAGCAGCTCCGCGCCGTACCTCGCCGTCTTGCACCCGGTGAGATCGCTGCCCGCCACCTCGCCGGTCTGCTTCAGGACGATCCACCGGCCGTCGCACTGCGTGGTCAGCTTGGGGCGGCCCCCGGGCCTGCCGTAGAGGAAGGCGTCGTCCATGGGCACGGCCTTCACCCACAGGCTGCGCACCAGGTGCGGGGCGAAGTGGTTGGCGAGCTGCATCGCGGCGAGCCGCCGGTTGCCCGTGCGGCAGAACCACCGCCCGTTGTGGTGGACCACGTGGATGGTCTCCACGTTCCTCAGCGGCGTAAGCCCACACGCGAGCTCGACCGCTAGCTGAATCACACTATGGTCGGTAGAGTGGCCCCCGCCGTTGTGAGCGAAGATCCGCCAGCCCCCTGACTGGGATGAGGCCTCAGTAAATGAGAGACTCGGCGTTTGGAAGTGAACTTGACAATCAGCAGCACACGTCAGCACACTCAGAAAGCCAGGAGTTGCTCAATGCTTTCTAAACTGTATTTACCCTCGAGAACTCAAAACTGCAGCAGACACGTGCGATAAGAGATCATGCTACAATAGATACTCGGGCGCATCATTAGCCGATCTCTGTTGGCCCTAAGGTGCTCCAAAGCTTCTGTGGGTGCCTGGGGCCATCGGAGGTAAGAAATTTCCGTGAGGCAGCTGCTGGCAGGCCGACTTCTTAATTGATATGCCACTGCACTGAGCTTCTCCCTTGGTTGGCAATTCGGGCCTCTGGGCGGCCGCTCGGGCCGGCCGGCTGGGCTGACCTGGCACGTACATATGCTCGACTCGAGGCCGCGGCGCTCCGCCGCCGACTCCCTGGCAGGCTGTGCCGCGCGGCGGCTTTAAGGGGAGGAAGGGAGAGAGGAGCCAAGGATCGAGGGGGAGGAGGGTAGAGGGGGAGGAGATGGTGGTGGTGGAGGAGGAGGAGGAGGAGAAGGAGGAGCAGGAGGAGGAGGAGAAGC